TGCACTAAAAGCATCCTCTCCTGATACTGTCTATGAACCCCCACAAGCATCAATCCCCTCAATCAGCCCAGCTATGTTCTGCTAAATCCTCCACAAGCACCAAACCATCAACACAGCCACATTCGGCCCCAGCAAGTCAGTTTCAAACATAAAAAAAAAAAAAAACTTTGTGTCTGTTTTGTGGCAGGCAGATGACAATAGCAGGTCTGTGTCTTTTAGTATTATATAGAATACTTTTGTTCTGCCAGATCTCCCAGGCAGGGGTTTATTAAGATTTATTTAGTTAATTTTAGTATTTGGAATTCTGTCCATTGGAAAGAAGTTCTTTCAGAAGAAGAACAGTTTTTTGAAATATTATTTGTTTTTATTCTGTCTATTCAGTGTCCTTCAACAAGAACGGTGGTGGTGGGGTTCATAATATTCACAATGGTATTTTATTAGTTGTTGGTTTAACCATGGATGAGATAATTGCTTCTATGTTATTTTCTTTTCAATGACATTTCTTGTCACATGTTCAAAAACAACAGCCAATATTGCATGTCTATAATTTATATAATGGGTATAATTAAACAATACTTTCACTATAACGTAAATTAGAAGTGTAATAGAAAAAATATATATTTTTGCGCCATTTTGAATTTTACTCGAATACAAATACAAATACAAATACTTTTCCCACTCAACAAATACAAATACAAATACAAATACTTTTCCCACTCAACAAATACAAATACAAATACAAATACAAATACCGGCTGCTCCGCACATCCCTAATATATATATATATACATATATACATATATATACATATACACATATATACATATATACATATATATATACATATATACATATACACATATATACATATATACATATATATACATATATATACATATATATACATATATACATATATACATACATACATATATATATATATATATATATATATATATATATATATATATATATATATATATATATATATATATATTGGCTGCTGTATTTTGAAGTTTATTTTGATACATCTAAAATTGAGGTATTTGCTATTTTATTTAAAAATACATTTCAGTGTATTTTTGCCCAACCCGACTGCACTGTAATGATTGCAGATAATGAGTCTATACTGCAGATGCAGATAATGAGTCTATACTTTTTACCTGTTACAGTATTCTGAAGAACTGTATAATGAAACATGATGGTATTTTAAAGAAGTATGTCATTTTGTTTGACATCACTTGCTGCATGTTGTTAAATGAATATGTCATTCATTCATTCATTCATTCATTTTCTTGTCGGCTTAGTCCCTTTATTAATCCGGGGTTGCCATAGCGGAATGAACTTATCCAGCAAGTTTTTATGCAGCGGATGCCCTTCCAGCCGCAACCCATCTCTGGGAAACATCCACACACACATTCACACACACACACACTCATACACTACGGACAATTTAGCATACCCAATTCACCTGTACCGCATGTCTTTGGACTGTGGGGGAAAATCGGAGCACCCGGAGGAAACCCACGCGAAGGCAGGGAGAACATGCAAACTCCACACAGAAACGCCAACTGAGCCGAGATTCGAACCAGCGACCTTCTTGCTGTGAGGCGACAGCAATACCTACTGCGCCACTCCCTCGCCCACGAATATGTCATTTTTAAAATAAATATATGAATGAATAAATGAATAAATAAATAAATAATAAAACTATAGAAATCTAGACTATTCTTTAAAATAATTTTACATCATTTAAAAAGAAATTATAAAAAATACAATTTGTAGTATTTTTAAATTTTAGTTTTATTATTTAAATTACTATACTACATAGCTACTTACAACTGAGACACCAATTGTGCTTTTGCCAGATGTCCTTTACTTATCTTTGTTGTGCTGCATAAAAGCGTCTGAAAGACTTTTATACGTGTAACTTTCATTGTCGTTTCAACAAATTTTGATTAGACTTCAGCTATTCTTCAGTTCTCTTTTTGAAGCTGTTCTGAGACTTACCGCTTATGTGCCAGCTGCATTCAAAAAAGTATTCATTCATTTTACAATTTTAAGATGTTCACTTTTGTTTGAGTCTTCTTGACTCTGTGTGGTTAATACAGCGTTTTCAGCTAAAAATATTGAGAGATACACATACAGCACTTTTAACGATAGAGTGCAGACATAATGAGAGATATCTTCAGCACATAAAGACTAAAAATTCAAACCACTGGCTATGTCCCTGAAGAACATTTAGAGACTCAAAGAACACAGAAATGGACTTTAGCAGTGCTGAAAGGCTTGACCTGACCACTGAACCACTTATAAAATTACAAGATGCATGACGAGACTAAACAACATGTGGCAAGTGATGTCAAACAAAATGGTATACTTCTTTAAAATACCATCATGTTTAATTTTACAGTTCTTTAGAATACTGTAACAGGTGAAAAGTATAGACAAGAGTGCAGTCAGGTTGGGCAAAAATACACTGAAATGTATTTAAAAATAAAATGACAAATACCTCAATTTTAGGTGTTTCAAAATAAACTGCAAAACACAGCAGCCAAACAGGTATCAAAATAAAATACATTATTTTTCTATTGTAAAAATACTACAAAATACTTTTGCAAGGGAGCACGAACTTTGCTCGCAAACCTTCCATCATTTGGCCTATTCAAGCAGTGCTTTCATAATTAAACAGACACTGTGGCATAAACAATGTTTGATAGCAACAGATTTTCTCTGACCATGTTTTAGCAGATACTCTGCCACCTTGTTCACCTCTACTCCTACTGTACATGAGTAGATATCTATAAAATGTTTTACTTGTGTTTCTTATTTATTTAGTATAATTTTTGTACAAATGTCATACAGAAAGTCCCGTTTAATGCAGATAATGAGTCGGAACATACTACTATATCTGTTGATTATGTTTTAACCCATTGTGTGGCAGTTAAAATTTACATAATATCTGTAAAATGATTATTCAACCTCTTAAGGGTGCAGTAGGTTATCTGCCAAAATGCTAATCGGTTAGCATAATATCTTTGAAACTCAGTCCCACCCCTGCTGACTAGAGCCATGCCTCCAGAAATCACAAACGTGCACCTTAAAGATGATCGTAGATAACCAACTAGATCATGTCAATTACGAATGAAAAACTGTATTATATCTAGTAGGTTTTCACCTTCAGTTGTAGTTAACAAGCAAAACTTGTCATAATGTGTATTATTTCATGCGCGCAAGGATCGCTGGTCTCACTCTCATGCGCTTTGTCTAAAAGCGACTGTATGCTTAGTGGTTGGCTGGTGGAATGCGGAAATTACACTTAATACTAAGCTATACTTACATGCTATTTCAGACCAAATATTTAGGAGAGGCATGGTAAACAATATCGGGAGCACCTCACAGCTTGTCATTGTTCAGAAATGAATCGATGTGATGTGAAAACTTCACCTCAGTAAAGCATTCTAGGCGGAATAGTGCTATTTACTGATGTTTTGTTAATAAAATCTACATTATCAATGTTGTCAAAGGTCTCTTATGAAACTGAAAATAGTCACATCAATCTTCACCGGAATATTTTAGTGACTGAACAACACTTATTTGCATATAACCCATTCGTAACACAACACAATCTACATCAGCAAGACTAAAATAATTTTAAAACAAAACATTACCTGTCTAAAAGAAATACTTCAGCCATAGTGTCATCCTTCCTTCAGCCTGCAAAAGTAACTCAATATCGATTCAGGATTTTAAAAAACTTGATTCAGCATGTGTTTTTACCACTGTCATTTGAGTCCACGCGACAGCAACACAGCTAGCTGCCGGCTTTCTGGCTATTCTGAATAGACTAAAATGCTGTACTATTATTATTATTATTTTTAATACAATATATTGTCCCATTTTTACATCTTTAGGCATACATCTTACCTCTTCATTAACTATATTAATGGCATTTTAAACAGCCAGTGAAGTACTGTAGGTATCACCACTGTAGGATTATATGCTATGCTTAATTTCCTTCCATACTCCAGGTATTAGCCACCTTCAATTCAATCAAATCAATTTTCTGTTCTGATTTTAAGCCTAGACAAATAACTGAGAAAGCAAACATTTAGACACATTTTTATGATGTCATCATGCAAACTTCTTACAAAATATTTTACAGTATTTTTAATACAATACAACCCAATAGCTAGTATTTTGATACAAAATCTTCCCAAAACCAAATTACAGACCACTATTATTTTGTATTTGAAGTTTGTGTATCAAAAATACTGCCCATCCCTGAGTGCAACAATGGTTTATGTACTACAACACAGCATCGCACTGCAGCAGAAGTGACAGGATCATGCAGAGATCATTGGATCGTTCATTTCAAACTCACATAGACAGCTTTCAAGAATGATAACAGACTTCCCTGCTAATTCTGCACCTCATTGAGACAAGTACTACATCAACCTTACTGCTCAGGAGGAAATAACAGCTTGAGAAAAAAACTCTGACCCACTTCTACTGCAAGGCCATATGCTCATGAAGCACAAAAGTTGGAGGAGTACTTGGTTGAGGCACATTTTCATAAGTAAGGTACATTTTGGTGACTTTGGGTTTACGTATTTAAAACACAAAAGGTACAAATCTCACATTGCTTTATATGCACAAATCAATCTAAAATGAATGATGGTTACTGCATCAATGAGAACAACATCATACAAAATAACTCACAGAAAACCCCTTTGTAGTGAAAAAAACATAAAGTGTTCTACATCATACTGCTAATAACCATTGTTGACGAAACCATCAGACAACTGTAGTAGGAAAATCTTACTGTGTGCACAACAAACATGTTTTACTGCCTTGAAAATCCCTGGAAAAAGTCTGATATTATCTAAAATGAATTCAACACCATATTAACTCTTGAAGACCATTGCTAATTTTGTTAAATGATAAATAAAAAACAAAAAGTAAGAAAAAAGCAAATATAAGTGAATAAACAAACATACCATTTGATAATGCCTGCTGAAGCTCTGTGTCTGATATTGCCCCGCTCCTGTCTTTATCAACCCTGGAGAAAACAGAAAAAGCATTGATCATTTACTAGCCAAAATACTGTAATTCATGTTCGAAACGTGTTTGCTTCATAGTGATTGAAATACATGAAGAGACTCTTACTGTAATGGGACAAACATCGGAAACAGGATGTCAGCATGGTCAAATGAAACTGAAAGTAAAAGCTTAGATAACTTTTTTAGATCTCCGAGTCTAGGCTTCAAACATACAACAATATACCAAAGAAAAAATGACATTTTAAAACGCTTTTTGTCTTTTGAGTTTACATTTGGGACATTACAAAAGAGTTTCTTGTAAAGCCATTTGATTTGTCCTTTCATTTCCTCATATAATCATTCATTGATGTTTTGAAGATGCAACCACATGCTAATATTTTTATGATTCATTTCAGCCTAGGCATGTCAGCAATGACTAAAAAAAAGTGGGGAAAGTCTTGTCTCACACAGAGCGAGTGGACTATTTCTGCTGTTGGGAGTGTCTTTTCCATTACACATATGCCATAAATCAGAAAGAGGACACATTTCCATTACAGGCCTTTTAAAAGGCAATTTAAAAGAATAGTGTTCCGTGTGGAAGTAGCAAGTATTATTGGTTGTGTTTTGTAATAAAGATAACAGTAATAAGGGATTTTTACAAAATCCAGAACTACGATACTGTGAAACAAGCACAAAGCAATATTTGTTAGCATTAGCAGTAAGCATTAGCATTCTAACAAAACACCAGTATTTCTAGGCAGCTGGAGAAAAAACATAGAAAAACAAAAAAGTGACAGGCTAGAGAGAGGCCTCCTCAATGATTTGGACACCTAAACCATTAACCAAAGTAAACTGTGAAAGGAATGTCTTGTTGGCTTGTTTATCCAGCAAGATCCTGCCTAACTGGGCAATATTTGAACTTGTGACTCTTTTTCACAAGGAATTCTGAAACAACCGTCAACTTCAGTTACACTTCATGTATGAGTAAAAATGGATAAGAAGTGGTTTGAGAATCATTTGATTTTATTTACAAGCTGAACTAAGCCAGAGCTTCCATTCAAGGAAGCTATGATCAGGAACATGTGGGTCATTAATCACTTTTCCTAAAAGTAAAGTGGGAAAAATACTATCTATGTCTATATTCATTCCACTTTCTCAGAAATTAGAAACAGTGCCTTTGGCAAATACTGTTTAAGTAATTGTATGAAAGTGATCACACTGAAAAACCATACCACCAAGAGCCCGAGAAATTACTAAGAAAATACTAAGGAGAAACATTGAAAGAACACCTTTGTAATAAAATAAAGTGCATCTGCCACATAAAACATATGACATGCCAGAGTAATTGATGGTTCATTCCACTGTGGCGACCCCTGATACATCAGGGACTAAGCCAAAGGACAGCAAGTGAGTGAGTGAGTGAGTGAGTGAGTGAGTGAGTGAGTGAGTGAGTGAGTGAGTGAGTGTGTGAGTGAAATAAAATAAATAAATAAATATATTTTTTAAAAAGTCAATTAAAAATAAAAACCTATATATAACAGAATGTTATAAATTGTAGATATGTGGTATACAGTAATAAAACTAAATATTTTTGTTACAGTAATAAGAACCATATTTTTGTAATTATCCATAGTAGGCCTATAAATTGGGTCTATATGTGTATACTTAATAAATATACTGTATAGATGGATAGCTGTTTTTGTAAACATATCATTACAGTTCCTTACATAATACTTAAGGAATTCAACTGAGGTTTTGCTATAATGAAACTTTAACCATGTATAGACAGATAGCTCTTTTTAAAAACATATTTTAAAACATATCATTATCACAGAATCCTTATGAAAATTAACCATGGTTTTGATAGTAACCATGTTTTTAAAATAAATAAAGTGCAACGTGTTGTGTGTGTCTATGTATTGATTACCCTTTTATATACCTATAGGTTCACCACAATTAGAAATACAGTGGTAAAACTATGGTAAGTGACAAAAGAAAAAAAAACATTATCAACTTGTGATTACCATCGTTTAACTACAAAAAAGTTTGGTTTTGATTTTAGCTTTATGTTTAGGAGAGTAAAACTATGGTCAGTTTTCGTAGGGAAAGTATAATCTTTTTTTTGGCAGTACATGTGAATTCTAAAAGATGACCGCCCTTGCAAAACTAAATAAAACTTGTATATATGACCCTTAAACTTAATATACTGCCAAAATATGACCTTTCAGTTTAATATTGTCATGGAAACTCTTAAATAATGAACAAATCTGACTCGCATGGTATATATGACAGATAAACACTGGTGACTCACGAGACATTCACAAGTCATATGACCAAGGGACGATCCTTTCATTTTGATACTGAGAACATTATTTTAACAGGAATGTAGCCGTGACACTGACACTGTTGAATCTGTTTGAGCCCTAATTCATATCATATTCATATCAGTGATTTCACTACTCCAATGATAATAGTGGTCAGTTCTCGTTACTTAGTTAAAAATAAATTTTAACCGGGTTACTTTAAACTTGAAAAGTCATCTTGTAAAATATAACACTGTCAAAATAGTCAGCAGATACACGGTATGTACATATGACGAAAAAACAAAAAAGCGCGACTAGAAGAAGAAAGTCTCGTGTGAAGGGCCCTTGAAAGACTCAATCCTCTGCAGTATTACATAATTCATTACTATAGAGGCAAGCAAGTTAGTTAAACCAAACCAACTCACTCTCGCTCTTTTATATGCGTGCGCGTGTATAACGTTACAGGAAGATTGTATGGGGTTCAAAGCTGCCACAAACTATGGAAAAGCGTGTTCGTGTTATTCTATAATAAAAGAAAAAAATAACTGCATGATTTGACTATGAAAAACGAAAGCTAAAGACAGAAGAGTCTGCTTTGACATGACAAGCAATGGAAAAACGTCGGAAGTAACTTCGAAATATTACAGTCTATAAACGTCTACTGGAGTTTAACAATTAATTTCGTATCTACTTGTACGTGACTTGCAAGGACAGGCTCTTTCCTGCTACGCTTGTCAAATCGACAGGCTTTCAAATGCGGCGGAATCGGTGGTCGTGCTCTCACTCACCTCTGAAATATATTCCATAAAAAGCCCTGATCCGGCGGCGCGCTGTTATAATGAGGCGGTCTGTACTGGTTATGATATGCCATGTCCACGGCTTGCTCCTGTAAACGCTCGGATATGCTCTATGAGCAGCGAGATTCAACTTGCTTAAATCTGACTCTAAAAATTCTTCACGCAGAGGCGTGGCGTCAAACTCCCCACTTCCCATTAAAAATTAGAGGACGTCACACGCTAACGCCCCCTTAGAACTCTCCCGGGGACTTTCCGCTGATTTGATTGGCTCGTCTAATGCCAGCGCGGAGTGTTTGCGCTAAATGGGCGGGGCCAATCGTCTGACTAATGGAAAATATGAACTGTTTCTAAATGAAATATTTGTTTTTGCTTCAGACTGACAGATTTCCACCGGATTTTTCCCCACAAAGAAGGACATTCAAGGCCAAAGTGATAAATATGATAGCGACTGTAGAGTGGCATAATTTACTGAAAATAAAATGTCACATAAACAATTTGTCATTGTGTCACCTTTGTGAAACTATGAAATATGCGTTTGCAAAACAGATTGTTTTTAAACAAGTAGCAAAAATATAACAACATTATGAACAGTTATTTGGACTATCGGATGTGTGTCAAAACCTATTGAATTGTTTACCTAGGCAGCGTTTTAGACTTCAAGCGCGCAAATGTGCTATCTATAAAGGCAGCGTTCTATGCTTTGAGACGCAGCCGTGTCGTCTGTCAATCATTCCTTACAGAACTAACGTTATCTTGTGAAAAACTGTATTGATTTAGCGCTAGCCTGAGGAAATTCGCATTATCTCCCGGTAATTTTGGCAGGACTAAAGTGTGACCAAAGTTATCAGATTAGATTTTTATTGAGATATCGATTGTGTTTAGATTGACGTTAGTGTAAAACTGAACTCTCTGAGGTAAAATGTTTTATTATCCTAACGTGCTTCAACGCCACACCGGTTGCTTCTCAACTATCTGGTATGTACCTGACGTTAGCATAAAAGTTATGATAATAATAACAGTATTATTATACAAAGAATTGGTTTGAAGACTGATCCATAAATAAATAAATAAAATTGATGCTATCTACTTGCTAACCAATCTGAGGTAAAATTACGTTAACTAACGTTAACTTAACGTTAAAGTTTTGGACGACTGGTGAACTTCATAAATGAAATCAGCTGATGCTCTTTAAAATATATAAGCAAAAAACGAATAAATAAGTTATATTAAACCTAAGTTACACTTTAACAGAATATTGAAAACAACGCAAAAACATCCGGTGAGTGTTTGTTTGTTGAAATTTGGTTGTTTTGTTTTCAGGTTGGCTGCTACTAAAGGCATCAGGATTTCCAGAAGAGATTATCTAAAGGTCAACGTCAGAAGAACATGGTCAGATAAATCTTTATTTTACCATTGAAACTGCTACCATATCAACCTGAATGATGATGTATGAAGCTATTATTTTCAGGTTATCTTGCTGTGATTTTAAAATGCTAATCAGTATATTGTGTGTAACGTTATATTATAGTGAGGACATTGTGGATTATGTGATGGTCCAGGTTCCTCCAGTCCATCCCAGTCTTCCCCGGCCCCGTTTTTCTCTTTACCTGTCTTCTCAGCTTCAGTATGGTGTAATCATTGTCTACCATCGCCAGTGTGCTTTTCTGCTGGGTGAGAGAGATAGTTTATTATTGTTGAAGCGCTGACTATATAGTCATGCTATAGCCTACTTAACATTTATTTTCAGCACAGCACTCATCAATCCAGCCCAAACTGATCAAAGCATGATAAATGAACAACATTACCTTTAAAAAGATGTTCACTTTAGTCCATCTACAGGAAATTACAATAATTTCTAAAGGATTCATTCATTCATTCATTCATTTTCCTTCCGCTTAGTCTCTTTATTTATCAGGGGTTAGCCACCGTGTCACCCAAGATTCTTAATATATTCTCTAATATATAAATTATGTCACCATTTATGCACCTTTTATACATTTCTTTCCTTTCCTTAATGTAACAATAAACTTTGGAAAATGCACATAATGAAAAGTAGAAAAAAACGAAGTCAATAGGGTCAAAACTCAGCAGACACACAATGTCATAAGATGTTAATATTAGGTTAGATTTGGGTCACCAGACATCCAATAACAACATTAAATGACGTTGATAATTTGTTGACTTTAGGTTGTGTTGAAAAGTGACTAAAGGCAAATCTAGACTAAAGTCTAGCCAAGATCTTAAAGGGTCACGAAACACCAAAACAAATTTTTTGAGCTGTTGACAGTCATATATGTGTCCCACACTGCTAAAAACACTATTAGGACACCTCTATTTCACTAAAAAGTGTAAATTGGTTGTTTTTGCATTATTTCAAGCAAGTTCGAACTACCGGTTTGAAACGAATTTTTGAAGCTGCGTCACAGCCATGACATAATAGCCTGTATTCCAGCGTGCAGACTGGGCGTCTGTGCCAGAGTGAGTCTTATTACGTCTTACAGTGTGATGCATTAATGCATGAGTAAGGCTTGGTTCAAACCAATCAGCGCGCTCTATTGTGCAACTTCATTAATATTCATTACTGTCAGAGTGTAGATGGCAGAGACGCCACGTTGTGTTGGCAAAACAAGCGTGAAGTGTTGCTTTTATAGTTTGCTGCAGTTAAGTTTTGTTTTCATTTTCTCTCTGTGAGAGCTCAGCTGGAGTCACGTGTGGATTACAGTGTACGCGACGCGCGACAACAGTAATTACGTGTCTAAGGAGGAACATTGTTTACCTGAGAGCTGTTCTCAACTGCAAACGCTGAGATCCAGATTCGATTTAGTCTCCTCGTAATAAAGACGCGGCTCTAGTTGCAGGTGATTGTCCTGTCTCTACAGATTTGGTAAGTGAGCGACCTTTGTTTATTCAGTTCGTATTTTATTCGTATCAAACAAACTATTGCAACGAGTGTAAACAAGTTAGCACTAACAGTTACAACCAAACTATAACCTCGTGTTGGATTTTGTGACCGGAATAACACACGCGGCTTTCTCACACTACCTGCCGTGTGCATCTAAGTTTCCGGGAAATGCTGAGTTTTTTTCTCTCATTCGCCGTGCGGTATCAAACATTGCATGAAAAATACACGCTTAGAGCAGTTCCTCGAATCAAATATCTCGTTTGTCGGGAGGGACATGAATGAATTCCCTGAATGAAAGAGCCAAACTGCAGTTAAAGTCCACCATTTAATAATCTGGCAAATAATTCGACTACAGATGTCCATGTAAACACAGTCACTTTGTCCGCTGTGGTTGTGTGTTTTTGACTTGTGTTTTCAGCGCGGCCAAATAGACACTCCCACACCCTCCCACTTTAGTTCCTCCGACACTCCCCCTAAACAGAGCTGGACACGCCCACTTTTCTGACTTTTTCCAAAGTAGAGGTGTGAAAACACCCTGCTGAAACGAGGGGGTTTCATGGCCCTTTAAATCAAGGTCATATTTACATCAAATACTGACATTTATTCGTCAGGTATGGCAACCAAAATCCAATCTCTAATAGAGGTTGTCTTACAGCCTACAACAACAAAATTTGTAAACGCCAACTTATCCAGCATATTTTTTACACAGCAGATGCTCTTCCAGCTGCAACTTGTGACTGGGAAACATCCATACACACTCATTCACAAGCATACACTACAGACAATTTTATTTTACCAAATTAACCTATAGCGCATGACTTTGGGCTGTGGGGAAACCAGAGCACTCAGAGAAAACCCACGCAAACACAGGGAGAACATGCAAACTCCACACAGAAACGCTAAGTGACCTAGCCGAGGCTCGAACCAGCGACCTTCTTGCTGTGAGGCGATCGTGCTACTCATTGTGTCACAGTGCAGCCATGTTAAGAGACAATACTTTTTTAAATAAAAGTATATATTTAAAGGAATAGTTGACCCAAAAATTGTAGTTTACTCACCATTTACTCAAGTGGTTCTAAACTTTTATGAATTATTTATTTTTTGTTGGACACAAAATATGACATTCAGAATCATGTTGTAAGTGAGCAGGCACTGACATCAATAGTATAAACAAAAATAGTCAACGGATCCTGCTTTACAACATTCTTCAAAATATTGTCTTGCGTTCAACAAAAGAGAGAAACTCAGACAGGTTTGGAACAAGTGGATGCAGAGTAAATTATTACAGAATATTCATTTTTGAGTGAACTATCCCTTTATTTCAAGTCACTCGTATTTATATATTTATATAAAAGCGACTTTGTTTCAGAGTCGCTTCAACAGTATCAGTGTTGTATAATTTGTCAGCTATACAGCAGCTCTGCAGAAATATCTGAAAATATGACCAAAATCTGATCTACACTACACATTAAATAAGGCATGCTTCTTTTTTTAAAAAAAATGGTTGACCAAAACAGGGCAATGCAAAACATACATGCAATTATGGCCTATCTAGGCTTATTATTCTTCTATTCTATTAATTACACTTAATACTTGTGGTCAGTCTCCTCTGGTCCTAAACACTGTGTTTGCCTTAACCTGTCCATAAAAGACAAGAGTGTATATTCATATAGCACACTACATCATCTTATATTGATCAGCATTTTTTCTAAGCAGAATAAAGATTTGGCTTCTTTTGTTATTACAGTTTAGGAAAGCTGCCAACACTGGCACTCAGGAACAGATTAATGCTGTCATGCAAGCTTCTCTTGGTAGTCTCGCTATAAAACACTGTATTGAGTGCATTTAGAGATTAGCCTGCAGCCAATAAGCAACTGTTAATCAGTAAAACAATTTAAGTAAGTTGAGATTAAAAGCATTCATCAAAATGACATGGCGATCTCAGCAGAACAATGAGATGATGACAGATGCGTAAACTGATGTTCTCTCTTCAGTGCAGCATCTCAAAGAAAACAACTTAATCTATAGATGTGTTTAATTTACAAGCATTACTACATTAAATATAACAAATATAAATATGACATGACCTTGAAGTGAAATGTGGAAAATAATATTTTACACCACACATACTTAAGCTTCCATACCTGTCAACTAAAAACCTTTTATGAAAACTGAGCTTTACAAACACGGAAGAAACCACGAGGTACATTAAAATGAAAATGTTAACGCATAATTTGCATTTGAACACCTGCTTGGTATTCATTAGCATCCCACCCCAAAAAACAACAGGGTTTAAAATTTCCCATTGCACAAAAGTTACTCAATCACTACAGAATTCATCTGGATATGAAAGTCTGGTTACACTTTAGATTAGAAAACCCATATTCACTATTAACTAGCTGCTTATTAGCATTAATATTACTAGCAAATTGGTTGTTTATTAGCACTTATGAAGCATATACTGTATTAAGACCTTATTCTGCGAAACCATATGATCTCTTTATCTTCTACTTAAATACGGTAGTCAACATTTGAAGTGGATTATCACTTTCTATCAAAGTTGTCCTAAAACTATTGAACAACACCTATTCTTGTCCTAGGATAATTTTGAAAAACATTTTTTATTCACTTTGAATGTTAACTGCTTTATATCTATTCCAATAATTACCAGTACTTATTCCATAATCATGCTACCAGTAGCAGTATTTAGTGGGTTATTGAGGATAAAATCTTAGTTCTAAAAAGTTTAATAAATCTTAAGTATTAATAAATGTTTTCCTCATTTTAAAGTGTTACCAACTGTTTTTAGAAATAGAGCAGTACAATTGTACAATAAATTTTCAGGATTTCAGCAAATTAATTCAGCATGTAGGTTTCACACTCCTTTTCGTCATCATCGCTGTGGGGTGTAATATTCTGCTTTATGGATATTCAGCTCATGTTTCCGTATACACATCTATGCATATATTTATCTATATATCTATGTGTACTTGTGCCTGCTGCTTACAATAGTGCTACTGTGACATGGCAACACTGGTAAAATTATATATATTATAATTAGGGGCAGTATGGTGGTTAGCACTGTCGTCTTACAGCAAGAAGGTGACTTGTTCGAGTCCCGGCTGGGACAGTTGGCATTTCTGTGTGGAGTTTTGCATGTTCTCCCCATGTTCATGTGAGTTTCCTCTGGGTGCTCCAGTTTCCCCAAAAGTCCAAAGACTATAGGTGAATTAAATTGGCAGTAGTGTATGTGTGTGAATCTAAAACTGTATGGGTGTTTCTCAGTTTTGGGTTGCAGCTGGAACGGCATCCACTGTGTAAAACATGTGCTGGATAAGTTGGTGGTTCATTCTGCTGTGGTGACCCCTGATAAATATATAAAATAAATAAATAATGTTCCAATCTGATTCTGTTGCATACCTGAATAAACATCTATTGGAAACTATTATAAATACAGTGGTGGCAAAAAAAACCTTAATAAACACTTGAAACATTTGAAAATATTGACCTCTGTTTGTCTTCTGATTTAATTTCATAATGTTCATTAAGCATGCAGATGGGTGCTCTAAGCAGAACAACAGATGGAAGTGAGTCATATTGTTTTTATTCACTTTTGCAGCAATTACAGGTGCACATCTACTGTGTCACTATTTCCTAAACTAATGTTCTCCCATACCTGACAATGATTAAACAAGTAATTTGGCTTTTTATGTGAGGGAACAGGATTGTGTAAATTTTAACAGTAGGCCTAGTTTGTTTTTGTTTTTAATAAGGAAAGTTAACCAAATCTCCTCTTGATTGCTCTTATCTTTGGTTTATAAAGCATAATTGTAAAGGCCAATAAAAAAAAAAAAAAAAAAAAAACAACTCAAACCACTTCAATATGATTCTAAAAATTTTTGGCCACCACTGCAAACTTTTTTGTATGAACATTGCTAATTTTCTATTCGATTTTATTGTGTCGCAATCAATGAAAACTGAGATGAAACTGAGAGCTACTTCTTGGGTACCGATCAATGTGGAGGGTTACCAGTTTGATAAACACTTCTCAAATAACAAATTTCAACAATGATTTAACAGGGTAGGAAATACCCTGTATTTAATGTTTCAATGTGCAACACTTTATTTTTATATATCTCTGCAAATATTAACATTTTTTAAATGATTACTTCTATATTAGATGGAGCTTACTGGTAAGTGGCGCTATGGTGAGCTATTTTTAGAACAGGCCTGCGGGCAACATATGTGATCCTCGCGGGCTACCTGGTTGGTGACCCCTGTTTTATTGACTTGTGTTAATTTAAAGTTATTTTAATTATTGGGTTAATTTCAGTTATTTTTTAAAAACATTTTCAAGAATTTCTATCCAATAAGATTGTTTAGCACTAACTAAAAAAACTATTTACACAATTAAATGCAATTGAGTTTTATCAAATAACAGTTTAAATAGATTTGTATGTATATTTATTATGTCATACATTTCAAAGTCTCTTAGTCTTATTTGAAGATATCCTAAATGAGCTAAAAGAGCCATGTTAAACATATTATGTACATATACAGTTGATTGAGCCTAATCTATATCAAGATCTAATTTTAGGACTGTTATTGCTCACTGAGCAGAGCAACAAACTGAATTTTTGCTAATTAAGCTGCCAACACCCAAAGCATGGGTGCTTATGCAAGGTGGTAATATCAAAACTCAAAACATTACATGAAACTCTTCTAAATCTTCAAACTAAAGTGAAGATTCAACTCTAACAAGTCTTTCTATTAACTTTAAACACCTAAGATTACTTTTTATTGTCAACATTTCCCTCTCTTAATTCAATCCCACACAAAGCATGCTGGGAACTACAAATCACTTAACCAGGTGGATCAACACAACTTAATTTAGCTTAATGGTTTACAAATTTAAGTGGACTGAATATAAAATAACTTTTTAAAAATTGGCCAAAGAAATTACAAGAATTGTGTTGTTGCATCACTTATTTGAGTGCACAGTCTAAAGACATGCGGTATAGGTGATTTGAATACACTAAATTGTCCATAGTGTATGTGTGTGAATATGTGGGTATGGATGTTTCCCAGTACTGAGTTGCAGCTGGAAAGGCATCTGCTGTGTAGAACATATGCTGGATAAGTTTGTGATTCATGACTCTGTGGCGACCTCTGATGAATAAAGAGACTAAGCCGAAAAATAAATGTATAAATGGATAATTATTAAAAAACGTTTCCAGTTTTGATTTTAAGCCAAGATTTCAAATTTTTCAGTTTCAGCTCAGAATTTTAATTTCAAAGATGGTGCATTCCTCATGTAAATGGTCAAGAAAGGGTGTAAATGGTAATGTAAATTAAATTATGATTAAAAGAAGTATAAAATTAACAGAAACCTTGATGTATATTATAAACAAAAACATCTACATAAGTAGAAATGAAGGTAATAAACAATTTGTTATTCATTCATTCATTAATTCATTTATTTTCTTTTCGGCTTAGTCCCTTTAATAATCTGGGGTTGCCACAGTGGAATCGCCAACTAATCCAGCATATGTTTTACACAGCAGATGCCCTTCCAGCTGCAACCCATCTCTGGAAAACATCCATTCACACTCATACACTACGAACAATTTACCCTTACTAATTCACCTGTACCGCATGTCTTTGGACTGTGGGGGAAACTGGAGCACCTGGAGGAAATCCAGGCGAACGCAGGGAGAACATGCAAACTCCACACAGAAATGCTGTGGCATAATTAGGATCGTAATTAGGCTCAAACCAGCGACCTTCTTGCTGTAAGGCAACAGCACTACCTACTGTACCACTGCGTCGCCCTAAATAATTTTTCCTTTTTACACATGAATGCAGGTGTATTATTCCATAACATTGTCGTTATATTATATTAAAATAGACTTAATTTTCTGTGGGCGAAGCAGTGGCGCAGTAGGTAGTGCTGTTGCCTCACAGCAAGAAGGTTGCTGGTTCGATCCTCAGCTCAGTTGGCGTTTCTGTGTGGAGTTTGCATGTTCTCCCTGCGTTCGCTAGGGTTTCCTCCGAGAGCATCGGTTTCCCCCACAGTTCAAAGACATGTGTTACAGGTGAATTGGGTAAGCTAAATTGTCCGTAGTGTATGAATCTGTGTGAATGAGTGTTTGTGAATGTTTCCCAGAGATGGGTTGCGGCTGGAAGGGCATCCGCTGTGTAAAAAAAACTTGCTGGACAAGTTGGTGGTTCATTTTGCTGTGGCAAACCCAGATTAATAAAGGAACTAAGCCGACAAGAAAATGAATAAATTTTCTGTTTTATTTCCCCACAGAGGAGGTCCAGCAGACCATCGAGCGACTGCTTCGCTCAAAGAGACACTTGAACATTGACATGCCAGACAATGATAGGTCAGATTCAAGGTCGTCACTGTCATGTTGTGTCACTAATGTAATTCATTCTGACACAGACGTTCATATTGTTCTTACACACTCATGACAGTTGCTTACATCACCGCTGTTGCTAGGATTTGCCTTGAGAAACTGTTCTGGGCTTGTGTTTCCTCCTAGGTTGGTGCTGAATGTCCCTGACTCCCTGTTCCAGCTGGAGGAGGCAGAATGGGCACTGGAGCCATTTTTTGGAGTGATGGGAGTTGATTGTGTTCCTAGTCCTTGCTTGTCCTCTCAGGTGATGAACTAAAGAATATACATACAGTCTTTATGAATTATGCATTAGTACCATATTTAGAGACCAGAATATCATAAATACCCCCTAGCAACCGCATAGCAACATGAGAAAAAACTTCCATCACTGTGGAGTTCATAAAAGTGAGTTTAAAGGGTTAGCTCACTCAGTGCCTTAGGCAGGGTTATTTTTTCTGCAGAGAGATTTTTGAGTATATTGTCTCGTGCTGTCTGTTTCTTTTGCATTCAAGCACATTCAGTTTTTTAAATCAGATGATCAATCCTATTTTTTAGCTTGTCTGTTATGCCCTATAATAGGATTTCAGCAAATGTAAAAGATTTGCAACTTATGTTGTATTCTGTTAAAGGTTCAGGACACCCTGGAGAACTTTTTTTTATATTAACAGATTTGTGTGTGTTGAGCATCAGTTAAGACAATGTTAGCACCTGTCAGCTTTAATTGTGGGGAAAACTGGATAATTTTGAGCTTTTGTCAGCTAATTTCAGCTTGTGGGTTTAAAATGGTTTTTGGGGCGGGATCAAAATCCAAAATCGGCGCAGAACTGCAAGTGCAATGATGACGCGTCGGTTTCTCATTATTATTCATAGCGGAGTTTTCTTATCCTATGAGAAGAGCCGGCAGCTTAATTATTCATGAGAACACGTGCTTTCCGAAGGCAGACCTGCCAGTTTCAAGCAAGCAGTGAGACCAACGGCCGTTCATGAAGGCTCGTATGTGTTTGTTTCCATGATCCACTGGGTTTGTTGCATGTTTTTTTCCCGCGATCCTGTCAGGGCCGATCATACAGCAAAGCTGTGTGTGTGATGCTAGCATTTTTGTCGGGTGAGCAGTGCGAGAATTGAAGAATGGCGGACGTTGACTTTTATCAGGAGTTCGTTCACATTCAGACACATCGCCGTGCTGCTGTGTTTGACTAAATCCTCTATGTTACCAGCAGGGCTAATGGTTAAAATAGGCACGTCAGGAGACCTGCTGCACTGAGTCTGCATTCAAGATCTATAATTTAGACACGGGGATTGAGGGAGAATCCTCATTTAGTTATAGTGTTTACATAAACACACTTATCTTTATAATGATATAAATTGTGGTAATGTGTATATAAAATTACGAATAACAAATGTTGCAGGGCATTAAATTACTGTTTATTTCTTTGCATTTTAACTTTGTGAACTATAAACTCATGCGTCTCCTCACGGTTTGTGTCTCAATTTGTGAGCTAACTGTCAACAACAGTTATTCGCTCCCCTTCTCCCCTGCTGGCCACGCCCACTCCTGCCCGATGCTTGCGGAGCTCCACGCCCATTAATCATGCATCTTTTGAAAAAAATCTGAAGTAGACTTTAACCGAAAGTGGGGGGTGTCATGGCCCTTTAAAGGGGACCCATTATTCTCATTTTTACAAGATATAAAATAAGTCTCTAGAGTGTATATGTGAGGTTTCAGTTCAAAATACCCCACAAATAATGTTTGTAACTTTTTGAAACTCTTTTAAGCTTTGATCCTAATTATGCCAATTATTGCTTAAAATGCACAGATAAACACAATTGTTTATATTGTAAAGATAATCATGTTTATATAAACATTATAAATAAGGACTTCTCCCCTGCTGAATCCCCGGGTCTGAATGCAGACACAGTGGACAGCACTACAGCAGATCTCTTTCCCTATCTATTCCAACCATTAGCCCTGCCGGTAATCTGGAAGATTTTAAACAGCACGGATATAGGCGTTGTGTCTGAATGGTAACGAACTCAACTGATAAAAGACAAAGTCCGCCATTCTCCAATGCTGCACACAAACAGCTTTGCTGTATCGGCCCAGACAGCATTGCAGGGAAAACTATGCAACAAACCCCATGGAACATGAAAACAAATATGACAAATATGACCCTTTTTGAACGGCTAAATATTGCGTGCTGTGCGCAGCCACAGTCTCACAGCTTGGCAGGTCTGTCTTTGGAAAGCATGTTGATTATTTAAGAAGCAGGGACTTCTCTTTGGTAGGGTTGAGTACCGAAACCCGGTGCCATTATAGCACCGGTACCTTGGTAACCGGTATGCACTCGCTTATGCACGCTCCCTCTGTGTTCGCGGCACTTGCTATCTTTGTGAAGGTGCTGCGCGGATCAGTTCCCTGCATTCGTCAGAAGTTGACGACCAAATTGACACAGGTAATAAAAAGATTAAACTTCGGTCATGTTCATGTTGTGAAACACTATCAAAATGTCCACCGTTGATGATATCAGACTTCTGTTTTCAATAGCGATTTTAACACTTAATATAGGAAGCCCTTGGCTATGCAGAGACCATTTTTAATCAGAAATATAGTGTACATAGTTATAGTTAGGAAATGAAGTCTTGAATTTACAGTCAGCAAGCTACTAAAAAACAGTATAAGACATTGATGAAATGCAGTTTTCAGTCACGCTCAGTAAGTCATGTAAGTCATATTCAACTCGTTTAGTTTTGCCTTGATTCATTTTTGATTTCCATCTTAAACACATGATGTATTTACAGCACATTTTTAAACATATTAGTTTAACTAATTTCTAATATCTACTGTTTTATCTTCCCCATGCTGACAGTCAGTGCAGAACATTTTAATAGTTATTTTGCAAGACAGTTATATTCAGACAAAGTCTCTTTAAGAATTTTATAGTCTTTTATTCAGATTAAAGTGTAATTTAGAATTAATCAGATAACTACGAAAGTTAAAATAAGTAGTCAAATTATTTTGTAACTGATTTGTTGTGTAAATTAAAAATATACTGTAAATATTTCTTAAGGAGGCTAATAATACTGACCTTATTTTTTTAATTAAAACGTCTTTTATTCATGAAATAAACAATAAGAAATAAGACTTATTATGACTCCAGAACAATTATTTTTTAGGAAACACTGTAAACGTTTTCAGAAACATTATTTTAAATAAATGGGAGGGCAAAATAAATTGACTTCAACTGTAGGCCTGTTAAAGTTTACAGGTGCAGCAATGTGCCTTGATGTACTTGAATGTTAGAAACGTGTTCTCCTACACCAGTATAACGTTACTTGTCAAATAAGTGAACAAGGAAGATTATTTTGAGTTTAAGTTATTTAATTATCTTGTTTATGAAGACTGCAGAATGATGCATAAAAACAAAGGACTTCGAATAATGTTTTAAGTATTTTGTGATGTATATGTTAAAATGTGCTCTGCCCAACCCCCCACAGGTTAATAGTAAGCTAATGTAATTACATAATGCAAATCTTAAATTCATGCTAACCAACAAATGATCAAAGGAAATGTATTAATGTAATACAATATGAATTGAATGAATGTAGAACAATATGAATGTTTACTTTAAACTGTAATTAAAATGTTCTATTAAAATGATTTTTTAAAATATTTTGTCAAATAAAATATTTTTGAAGAGTCATCCACCATCAATTTGTGGCTAAAAAGTCGGTTCAGGCACCATTTTGGCACCGATATCGTTTTAAAAGTATCGATTTAGCACCGGTATCGAATAAAAACCAAACGATACCCAACCCTACTCTTAGGATAAGAAAATTCAGTCTATGAGTATTAATAGGAAACCGACACATAATTACTGGACTTTGATCCCGCCACAATAATGATTTTAAAACCGAAAGATGAAATTAGCTGACAATTAGTATTGTCAAAATTATTCAGTTTTATCCACAATTAAAGCTGACAGGTACTAATGTTGTCTTTATTGATGTTCAAGACACACAAATCTGTTCTCAAAAATTTCCAAGAAAGTACTCAAGGGTTTCTTGAACCTTTACATTCAAATGAGATTATGCTACAAATGCCTATATGTCAGCATAGTGGCAGATTCAAAACCAAGACTAACTTCATATGCTAATGACGGAGAGATTGTCACTAATTGTCCAGACTTTTACTTTTTTACTTTACTCTGATGACATGTACAAAGGGTAAATGTCAATCAAAGTGTTACTACAGAATGTTGTCATAAAGTGTGATTATAAAAATTTAATTAATAAATGTTTACTATTTAAGTCTAATTATATTCAGATATCGCTTCCACACAAATGTGTTTAAACACTGTTTAAAAACGATTTTTGCAAAACAGATCCCCTTTAACATTAAACAGGTCAGCCATTTTAAGTATTTGTTTGTTTTTAAAAGTGTACTTACTACTTACTCTCCCTCAAGTGGTTCCAATCCTTTATGATTTTCTTTTTTCTGTTGAACACAAACGAAGATATTTTGAAGAATGAAAACCTGAATCTGAAAATCTGAAATTATGAATCTGAAAACCTGTAACTACTGAATTACATTGTAGGAAAAGAAATACTATAGAAGTCAATGGTCACAGGTTTCCAACATTTTTCAAAATATTTTCTTTAGTTTTTAACAGAAGACAGAAACGTATTAAGGTTGAAAACTAGTGTGTAAATGATGACAGAATTTATCTTTTTGGGTGAAATATCCCTTTAATTATTTTCACTTGTATTTTTTTAAAGCATAATAAAAAAATATGTTTGCTTCAGCTTGCTGAGGGCACAACACCACATTTTGAGACAGTTAAAAAACATTTCTTTTTTTTAAGACCAAAAAAAGTAGCAATTTAAAAAGCAATTTAAAAAATGTCTTGTTCGTGCTCTTTCATATAGTGCTACTGAATAGCAACCAACATTAAGTTTTAAATAAAGGCCCAAATGTTCTAGAATGATCTTGTGTTGTGTTTAGTATATTCTGGTGCTATACAATAAATTTAATTTGTTATTTAACAAAAACCTTTATTAAGGGCATTGGCACTCTATCAGTGTGGCAGTTCAATGCAACTCAAGCAGAAAAATAATCAATTTAAACATTTACTGCAGTGTTTAAAAAGCCCAAAAAAAGTATCAGTGTTGTTTCTTCACTGACTTTAATATATTTGCAGACCAGTTGCCTGAATGATAAGTACTGCCATTTCTGTTGGATATTGGAGACATCAAACAGAAAACAAA